TGGCTTGTGTTGGCATTAAATACAATCGTACTTGCAAGATATTGAAACTCAAACATCTGCTTTCCCACATATATTTATTGAACTAACCTTGTTGAGCAATACGTGTATTAATTATCTAATTTCACGATAACGTTAGTGTATACTGCTTTATATCGCAATATCTGAATTGTTGTGTATTTCACAGATAACCATCACCATAGAATGTTGAAAATATTGCTTTCTAACCAGGATCAAGTTATTACCACGCTCGTGCTTTCGTCAGTTGTTTCCTAGTCAAATCTATAACATAGATACATAAATACATAGCTTTAAACTGAAAATTTGAAATGAAAATTACCACTGTAATATAGGATAATTCATCTCCAGATGGAATGCACATGCTGAATTTCAGACCAATCAAAGAAATACGACACATGTGACTGATCAACGTTATTATAAATTTTCGCATTCAAACAATATCAGTTGAAGCACCTACTATTTAAGTAGAGAGATGAAAAATAACAAATTTGAAAGGAGAAATGTGGTAATAGTTTAAAGTCATTTTCTGTTTAGAGAAAAACCAATAAGCTTGCCAATCCACGTGACCAATCATAGAAAACCTCTTTGATGAACTTTATACATAGATGCTAAAATCCGAAATTCTTTATGTTCATTGGTTCTAAAAAATAGTTTTCTACTTGTCATGGCGACAGAGATCACGTGGGTGTCGTAAACCTTCAAAAAACTAGTATTTGATTCATACAGAAGTAAAATAACAGACAATAAGTAGGCCCTAGTATTTAGCTCAAAATTAATATTCGTTGACCATGAGGTTGCAAAACGATGATGATGTAAAAATACAATTGCAACTCACTTTTTGTAATTTAATTTCCAGCTTTCACCAAACTCAAAAGCATCTTTGACAATGCTACCATCTGGTTTCTGGAAGTCATTGCGGGGATCACCATCTGCATTACCCATCAGACCGCATAGCTTTCCGTTGTAAAAAGAGCCATTGTAGGATACATCTAATGCGTGCTTTCTCAGAGTCCAGTTAAGACTGAAGGTTGTGTCCTTCGAAGTGAAGTGCAGTTTAATATTTTTCTCTTCTTCCTGGATTGTTATATGTTTTGCGTCAGTCACCTGTCCACCTATACGTCCCTATGGGATGAATAATTGGTTAGCATCTAGTTATGATCAATGAATTTGTGAAAATTTAAATTATGTTTGCAGCATATAAATACTACATACTGAGAACTTACTGTAGTAACATCAAGACCATCAATAATTGCGTATTGATTTCCAACAGTTACTTTAATTGCGACAGTTTTCGTTTTGATTTGGTCTGGGGTACTGTCATCCCTTGGTTTAAACTTGGTTGTGACTTCAAAATGGGGATTGTCGGAACAGTCCTTGAATAGAGAGTACCAGCCTATCCCTTGGAAATTATATGAACGCCCATCGAATGTCCTCATATGAGGTTCACCGTGATCGCCATGCCCTACAGAAAACAATGTTGTATGTTGTATAATATTGTTCTGGCTAAACACATAAAACACGAGACTTACAAGTGAAAAAAAAAAAGTGATTGCTCCATTGAAATTTTGTTCAGTCATCTGCAGTAAAAATCGTAGAATTAACGTTTGCAAAACTTATATTATGTAAGCAAGAGTTGGTGGTTACAACACGCTGGTTTATTCAAAAGAATATAATTATATTTACAAGCAGAAATACTGAGCCAAATAGCCGTTTTATAGAAAAGTTTTATTTGGCAAATAAATGGTTTACCACAAACACACTCAAGTGATAGAGCGAATTATATTAAGAAGCTGGATCCTTTAGAACCATACTCACACTCGCAGAATGCATTGGCCCGTTTCACCGTACAATTAACGTCATTCCATTTGCCATCCAATTTCCTGTCAAACATAAGTTCATTAATTAAAATATAATTTCATAAACAATTTTTGTTTATTAGCATGTTTTGTATCAATGGGATTACCTTCGCGATCAAATGAATATTTATGAAATTGTGTGTAATGCAGGAACAACCTCGCCCTCATTGTTTTTACGTGACATTAACTTACTTACCAGACTTCAACACAGTTCTCATTTCCAAGTTCATTATTTGGCTCGTCTTTATCCCAGTTGGTGAAATCAAGAGCTTCATTATTTGAGTAATAAGTGAAAGTCCCTTCGTGGTTTTCATCGGTTATACCAAGCCAATAAAATCCTAATAAAAAACGAGGCAAGATAAAACAAATACTTTATACAGATACAAAATTACTAAGTTTTTTGTTTTGTTTCATGATTAAAATGTTAGTTCGGAACAATTACGATATATCTATACTTGCAAGTATACCTGCCACATATAAGCTCATTATCGCGTTCATTTGGGCCAAAGTTTTTGGTTGTGCAAGTTGCCATCCCCACATAGCTTCACATCGGACTTTAGCTTCATACCAGTCCATTGGGCCTTCAATAACTTTATATAAGGAAGGTGGGTGACCTGCATAACAAAACGATTAATGGTTAACAGCAACCCTATATACCAAGTAAGTGATATATGTTGGCAACTAAAAGAAGTAAATATTCTATGTAGCTGCTGATAGACAGTGTAGTTATGTTGATAGTATTTATATTCAATTATATATATATAACAAATTCATACAAATTGATATAATAGTAATAGTAATAATATTAAAATCGGGTTGAAAACAAATTCCGTTGAATCGCAAGGTAAACAATAGTATACACACAATAATATCATTCAGAGTAATAAATGCAGTTGTGTGTCTACAGATATTTAATCTCATATGAATACAGTAAATCACTTTTAAATGAAGCCAAATAATTGGGCGTAAAAATGTATGACACAGCATCTTAAATTCAAGCATTGAAACCTTTGTAATCTTTAACACCGTGCATACATTTGTATCCTTTTAAATACTTGAAAATCATTGATATACAAACTTATATGGCATTTTCAGTGTTTAACTAACAACTACGAGCACTTACGCTTCTCAACCAATTCCTGGAAAAGAAAGAAAACAAAAATATTTTTTTTTTCAATGCAATTGAAGACAGTTCGCAAATGACCATTGTAACTGCCTGTCGTATTCAATTCTTTTCATCATCCACTTTCTCCATTGCTAACACTTACTAAAGACGTTTTCTGATGAACATTATATTTTGGAAACATTACCGGGAATTTACGAACACAACTTTTATGACTGAAAATTGTGAAAACGGGAATATATAATACAAATCCCGTGCAATTTTGTATATTGCCTATGGTCATTGATGATGTGATACAAAGTAATTCAGAATTTTTTTCAGAACTTGTGCACTTTTGATGAAACAAATAATAATAACTAACGGTTTTGATTTGCTAATAGAATGTTATACAATAACAAACGATATCAGGTCATTATGTGTCCGTGAAATAATATTTTGAATTTTCATAAACAATATTTCAAATCATTTATTTCTATGATGTAAAATTATCTCTGATGTATAGCATACTTCTACATCCACTTGGCGTTGTGCCGTGTTGTAATAGAAGGGTGGTATATATACAAACTAAAATAACGTTGGTATGATGGCAATATTAGATGATTCGTGAATATACACAATACGTCGTAACTTAATAAAAGAGTGAGCCTACCTCGTGTGGGGCAGCTAGAGTCAAACTCGTAACCGCAAGGATCAATATTAAACGTAACATCGTGGTTGTCTTTCCTGCAATACTCTTTAACGGAAAATGTTGTGTAGAGACGTCAGAGAAAGACTCATGCAACTGGTAGATTTGATCCGGTCGTTCGATTATAACAATTATTTTCTTGCTGACGTGCATGTTTGTATATTAATCTCTCCATTTGGAAGCATTTCTATTGGCCAAATAAATATATTGCACACGAAAGTGAATTATTTTGCGCATGCTCATTTTCATTTTTTACGCAGCAACTGCTGGTAATGCTGTAAACCATACATAGCTGAGAAATACACTAAACGTTTTCACGAGTACCGCACACTACTGAGAAAAAAGCTAAATATACTTTCATACAACATTTGTACTTATGTCATAACGTCTAGAGTGAATCATATAGATTGAGTGAAAATACATTGCCGCATGTGAGTCAAACATCTTTTTACTGAGACGATTCAAAGGTTTTTTATGTTCAAATTAGCTCTAATCATTGTTTACAGTGTGTTGCCGAAATATTAAACTTCTATTTCAGAAATAACGTAGGCTGAATGATTGTTTACGCAAAATATCAGCATACATACATGCTCATATGCAAATGTTGAGTAAACATCAAATGTGTACATAATATCATGCTGTCATACTGTTCTGGCAGTTGACTGCTCAAAGGACACATGGAAAGTAATATTATTTTGATGATACATTTATGTCTACATGTTACATTATGGAATTGTTGATCTCAAGATCAAAATAGTGAAGTCATACACACACATTGTCTGGAGATTGCAGTGGCGGCGGCACCGGGGGTCACCCCCTTGAAAAAAGTGTTGGGGGTATCGCCCCTCCCAAAATCAAGCCGAAATCCTATGTTATGTTATGTTATGTTATGTTATGTTATGTTATGTTATGTTATGTTATGTTATGTATGTCAGCTATATTTTCCCATCAAAGTGCAGGAAATAGCGTTTCAGATGGTCTAGATTTCAATTTTTCTAGGGTAACATGTCCCCGAACCCCCTAGTAAGGTCGCGCCTTCGGCCTTACGAATGGTGAGCAGGTCTCGCCCCCATGCACAATTGCGTTCCTCCGCCCCGGGATTGCCGTGTGCAAATGTGAGGATTTCTGAAATGCATAAGTTTTTGTTCAAAACTAAAAATTAGAAAGAAAAACTAAAGACATGACATCATTATATTTTTGAATGGGCTAGCCAAGTTTTCCATATATGAAGATACACATACTATCTGATACTATATTTATTTTATTTCCACTTAATTCGTTAAAACTAATTCGCTTTATAATTTGTATGTATGTATATATGGTATCTATATTAAGTTTCTGCACTTGAAAAGTAATAGAATTTCACAAAAATAAGTATGTCTTTAGAGGCTTTTTTGAAAAGCTATACTTTTCTAAATGGGTACCAGGTCTGTCTTGGAGTACCCTCCCCGGGGGTCTAAAGGTATATAACAATAAGGTTATGTAAGATCTTTATGTTATTTATTTTTCATACTTGCATATCAACAGTTAAGTTTTCTATCTACATGAAAGGCTTGCTTGGCGGTTTACGCGACCCTCGTCCTAATCTGACATCAGCAACAGTGGAAAGCCCTATTTTATTGCACAGACACCTATACCATTGTGTAGTTTCATATTTCAAAAGGATTGGGGATATATAAAATGCCTCTCGCATCTCTCTGTAACAAATAACTCTATGACTTCATAAACAACTACATAATTGTATTATATGAAGATAGATACTTTGATATTCTGCCGTGATTTTGCTCAAAATAATTTTAAAAAGCATCTTTCTATATCAACTAAATGTATATTGAAATGAATGATTTTCGTCATCAGACTCTGTGAATCTAACAATGCCGTGGATGATAGCATTTTGGTGCACTGAATTGTTATTCAGGATGCAGGTGTGCATTAAAACCCAGTCAGCATAATGATAGGATTATATCAACTATTGTCTATAATTGTAAACAATGGTTTGATTGGCATTTCGAATGCGAGCCATACTTCACTCAATTTTAAAAGAATATTTCTAAATTGTATGATGAAATTCGTGGAGACATAGTCCACGAGCAAACGACATTCGAACTTATGCACTAGAAGAGATTTCTTAACCTGAAAAAATAATGGTACGATTGTTAAGCTATTCTTACAAATGGTGAAACATTAATGAGTCGAACACACGTAATCTTATTCGTATGCTCATTTATTGACCCCAATCACTGCCCTGTCATCATCGTGTATTGACCCCGAGCGACATGTGAATATACACAAATATGTATATTCTAGAAGAAATTGGTCAGGATTTCTTAAGCTGAACAAATAATGGCGCGTTTGTCATTCAAGCTATCTATACAAATGGGGAAAACACTGAATGTTGAAAAGTTACACACACGTAATCGTATTCGTATGCTCGTTTATTGACCCAAATCACTGCCCTGTCATCATCGTGTATTGACCCCAAGCGACATGCGAACATTCGCGCAAAGGTAATCTCTAGAAGAAATTGTTGAGGATTTCTTAACCTGAACGAATAATGGTGCGTTTGTTGTTTAAGGTATCTATGCAAATGTGGGAAAACGTTGAATGTTGAAAAGTCGAACACAGGTAATCTTATTCATATGTTCGTTTATTGACCCAAATCACTGCCCTGTCATCATCGTTTTTTGACCCCAAGCGATATGCGAACATACACGCATAGGTATATTCTAGAAGACATTAACCAGCATTTCTTAACCTGAACAAATAATGGTGCATTCGTTGTATAAACTATCGTTACAAGTGGGGGAGAACACTAATGTTGACTGGTCGAACACATATACTCTTATTACTATACTCGTTGATTGACTCCCATCACTATACTATCATCGTGCATTGACTCTAAGCGATGAAGTGTTATCGTTGTGCCCCAAGCATTTTCCTGTTATCGTCTTTATTGACGATAACATTCATGAAGTTGGTTATCAGAGACATCAGAAAGCAACATTGGCAGTCCTTAATTGTCTGCTTCTACCTATGTGTAAAAGAAATAACCTGATCAACCGTGGAATCGAGCAGTCATACAATGTTACATGTAACAATATGGGGTAGGTACGCCATTTTATCGATGATCAGTTATAAGTGAATAATGAGACTGCAACAATTAAACGTGCATATATGATTAAAAGAGCTTGCATAATTCCGCAACCAGTTTTTGTGAAGTTCAATAAACATAAAGATCGTTCAGTTGTCTAGCTTGAAAAAAGTTAAATGCGATGACATTGGTTGCAGATGCAAATAAAAATCCCAATTATGTAATGACAAAATCATGATTGATTGATAATTATATTATATCATTGTCAATACCAGGGGTGATATATACAAGTAAATGTGATGCACGACGTGGGAGTTTGTCTATAGAGCGCGGGCACAGAGATATGATGTTTTTTTTCTGTTTTTGTAGCCAGTAGTACTACACATTTTGCGAAACGAGATCAAGACCGACGTGACATTTATTTCCTCAGTGCAACTTCTCGGTGATTGTCACAGTCCGGGCACAGTTTGCATGAACGAATAACAATGACATCCACCTTCATGGTTTGAAAACACTCGAGGACAACATAAATGTACCCAGGGTACACACCTCTACGCACAGGCCACGGCTGACACCAAGACGGCGTACCAGTCACAGTGTGCCGTTCGCTCTGGCGATCACTATAATGCTACTCCACGCCACTCACCAGTCACTCGACAACTCGCAATGTAAATTGTTGAATGAAAACTAGTTTCTTTCTCAGTTTATCATATGAGATTGGGGAAACAGTTATCAAAAAGACATTTTAAATTATGAAAATTCACGGGCCAGTGGCTGAAAACTGTTCCGTTCACTGCTGATTTCTCTCCAAAGTTAGTGGCAGCAAATCCACTGGACAAGGCTACGAAATAATAACAAGAATGAACTCCCTGGTTCATTATTGTTTCATTATTCGTCTTGATACCTCAAGACCAATCAAAGTCTATGGAGTAGGGCAATAAATAGAAGTGTAATCAAGTTTATAATGATTCACAATTACGGCACTTCGGACAATGTAAATGTAAACTGTTCTAATCTGAGTGCTATGCTATGTTATGACACGTTTATGGTTTGAGTAGCAATTGGAATAATTTTGATCTTTTTATTTTATTTTATTTGCATTCACGTAGTGTATTTTTAATTGAAAATTATATATCAGTAAATGTTTTTGGAATGAGTTTGCCAATTATATTTAGATAACAAAATATGGCTTGGGAGCAATATTAGGGTAATCCTTGACAACAATGGTTTAAATAGTATATTTTGGGTGATTTATTTGTTCAAATATTTAGTTTGCCTTAACACACCTCACTCATTCAATTGCTAGGGATTAACTGTGAACAAAATCGTCACAGTCTTTCTGCATATAGCATATAAGCTATAGTATTGAGCCTCGTATATGCCTCTTATCTACTTATCTTGCATGGGTGATTGAATGGAAACTTTACCATCTTGCAACTTCACTTGCATCAGTGTCTTCTGGTAACAATTCACTGTCACTCTCTGCAATACCATGCTGTTTCTCACCTTTCAGCGTGACCCATAAGTTTTCCCATGTCTTCCGAGAGGTTCAACTTGACCTCCTCTGTATTTCTTACCTTCATGAATGTGACGTCTTCCAGGATATAACTTATCTATCACTAGATCGGGTATTTCCATAACTTACCCTATTCAAAGTTCACTCAACCCACCTGATTAAACTGATTGTGCATTAACAGTCTATAGTTGCTTCAGCCTATCCACAATTTCTTTGCATGGCTCTGAAATACTCATGTCTTGTATTCAGCTTTTAGCATAACGTTTCTGCCACCGCTCATATCATGATGGTGCTCTGTTCAGCTTCTTTGACCACCTTACTACTGGGGTTCACCCTCCATTTCCGTGATTAGTTTCTTCTCAAATTATATTTTTGGTAGTTTGCCAGTTTTCCCTGGTGAGAAGCATCACTGGTACATCCACATCATGGGTATCCCTCAGTAGAACAGGGCTTCTACATTAATTTGGGGTGGAGTTATCATAATTACATCCT